GTGTGAATTTTTTTTTCGATAGGGGGGGTATTTGACAATTAGAGGTTCACAGGGGTGGTATTTGCAATTAACCCAAAAATATACATGAATCTTATAAGGGGAAAGAAAAAAGGAAAATTAAATATATATACACAAAATGACTTAACAATATTTGCAATATCTTAGTAAATGTGACACAAATAATTGAGCCACAAATAATTGCCAGCAAGTCCTCAAATAATTCATTTTATGCCAGCATGTTTACAACTATTTGATAATCACCAAAAGGTGGCAAAAAATAAACATTGTGATTAAAACTTTGAAAATTCCAAATAAATCAAGATTTCCTTTACATCAAATGAACATCCAAAATTCCAACAGCAGCTGTACATCAAAATAGATACATATATAATTACACACACAAAAAAAAAACACTAATCCCTCCCGAAAATGTTCCTCCATCGCAAAGTTGAATCTCGTGGCATGATTTCAATTGATTATATATATATATATATACCTCCTAATAGACTCTGCATGGATAAAAGAATGGTTCTGCAATCGTATGCCGATGACCATTTATCCTGTTAAGAACATAAAATCAAATCACAGGAAGAAAAAAAAAACGAAGCCGAATTATAGAAATACGGTGAAAATACCTGAAGAATATGTAATCAAATACTCCCGAAGTGGTCAATGTTTGGATGGAAGCACGTCGTTTGAAACTTAATGTGTGTTTGTTAATAATCTTTGCCGCCATTTATTGTTCCGATCCAACTAAATATGCTCTCGGCTTCTGGAAATGCAGAAACTCCGAGTTCACCCTCACTCATCTATCTCGATAATTACTAAAGATTATTAACAAACACACAATCATCACATTAGAGTGTGTGTGTGTGTGTGTGAAATTGAAACAGAGCAAAATCAGAATGCCAAACAATGTTTATACTGTAATCAATTTATATGAAAAAAATTTGTTTAAAATGAATTAAAAGCAAACCCTAGGTGCAATAAAATTATAGAATCAATACTTGATTAGAAATTAGAATTAAGGGTAAATCACACCCATACCCCTGAGATATTCTTAAATAACTGTAAGGTCCCTATGGTATCGA